AACGGGGCTGTAGGGGTTGAGGGCCCGGAAAGCGGGGCCAGGAAGGGCCGTGTCATCACTGCGGCGCGTTAGCGCGCTGCCGCAGCAGCCACAATCACTGTTTGTCATCGATCTCCCTCCTCAGAGCAGGGGCCTGTCCTCCAGGACCTCAGTCCTGCTGTGACAGAAAGCCTTCCTCCCTGCGCACGCAGTATCTGGTATCTGCTTAAAAAGGGGGAAAAAAAAAAGTCATGTTTCAAAGGCATAAAGATAAAATTAACTCCTTAATCTGCTTTACCTCTGTCAAAAGGACATCAAAATGCCTGTAACGCCATTTCAACCCTCCTCATTTCTACTGGCTGTTTAATCAGAGGAAGCTTTCTGAAAGGAAAACCATATGGCACCTGTCGCTCTTGCAAGATTCTTCAAATCAAAATGGCACCAACCCTGCAAAAGCACCTGTCTAGATTTCATCGGAGTTGAAAAAACTCAATAAAGAACAAAATCCCGATACAATGTACACAAACTTACACCTTCCAATAAATCATACAGACTAGTGCTGTGCCATTTTTCCCCCCCAAAATTAAACAGGGTTCAGTGTAGAATAGGTGCTCTCTCCCCTTATTCTTTCTTTAAAATACATGCTACGTCACACACACGTACAGAAGGTTAAGTACAGGGAAGGGATTACAGTTTGATGCTTCCATCCAGGACAGACCAGCACTTGGAAACATCCCTCCTGGCTCCTTAGAATCGAATCTATAAATGTACATCTTAAGGTATGAAAATTAGAGGATTTGACTTACGATACCTTCAGAACTGGAGCTTATTTATTTCCTTTTAACAGGAATAATTGTGATCACTAACAATTACTGACACTGAGCATTTTTTATTCTTTAAACAGAACAGGAAATTATCTGAGAAAACACCACAGACACTTGCTAGTCCCAGCTCCAACACAGAGAACATCACCTACAAGTACCTCAAGAAGGGGACAGGCTTAATTGTTGAATTTCGAAGTTAGGCAATGACTTGGTCTGTGTCAGCTTTCCACAGTGTTTTACTGCATGTAGCTGTCAGACATGCACTGTCCAAAGGAAACCATACCCAATTAAGGAAAAATAATTTTTAAAAGCCTTTTGAAAGGGATGAATTGCCTTTCCTTTGAGACTTGAGTCAAAAACCAGGAAGATCGTAACTAGAATTCAACAAACAATTGGGAAAAAAGTAATGGTATGCTAAATACTCCCAGGAAAAGGGGACAAAACCATCATTAGATAAACCTGTCAGGCTGGACTGTTTAAAATTGAAAAAGTATCTGTATCTACCCCACGTTTTCACCAGGTTCAAAGGGCTCCTTTGCAGCGATGGGTGTTTCAGGAAAAAAGACCAAGAAGTCTGCCTATGTGTCCAGGAAACACGAGCTTTCACCAAGTGCTGGGTAAACTGATACTCTCTGCTGGCACAAAACCCTCGTACGTTATGCACATCTCAACTGCACTGACCTAACTCAACAACATCCATGATGTTCTGGTACAAAATAGGGCTGAATAAACCACGTGCCCTGAAGTGGACCAAAATCTTCACCCAGAGACTACCAGGAGTATAAGCTAGCAGGACGTTAAACAGAGGTAGGAAGAAGATCAACCACTGCAAGCACAGGTGAGACTCAGGAATGTCGATCTTATGAACTGCTCCCTTACATGGACAAAAGAAAATACTCTTTTGCCTAAACCAGTTATAAGCACAAGGCTCCCCCAAGAGCTTAAAGCAGATATAATTACCTATCGCTTTTCTTAAACTGATTGTTTTCATAAGACTTCCTTTTAATGTAAAGCTTAATGCTGAAATTATATTGCATTGTGGTAGACAGAGTTGTTTATATAACAAGACAATGAACTTCAACCCTCTGACAAAGAGCAAAAGTTGGAATTAAGGTATCTGACCCATAGCATATGAACAAAGACACAGGGAGGAAAATAAAGTATTGCCTGGACTTCAGTTTAGAAAGAGGGAGGACAGATTACTATGACCCGTACATAGAATACGCAGACATCTTATCTATAGCAAGTTATCCAGGGTTTCTGCATTTGTCACACACTATCCATAAAAGCTCTCCCAAGCAGTCAGGTGCCTGGACGTGAGCCGAGATGGTCATCTGTGTGAACATCTATCAGAGGTGTGAACTCAAAGTAAAGCAGGGCAATAACAGCCCTGCTTGCTCAGACGCATTCAGGAAGGCAGCAATGGGTACTGCACATGCTGCTCTCATAAGAAAAGGCAGAGCATATGAAATGGCCCTTCTTTAGCTCTCTTACCTTCACTTTGCAGTCCCATGAAACTCTGCTTCTCATCTCCCCTGCACTTGGAGCCAGTTTCAACAGGACAGAGAGAAAGTCATGTCACACGCTCAGAACCTGGCACTCTTCTGGCCTGAAAATCACCCCAACTTAATCCTGAAATTGGTGTCCCTCTCTCAAGCATGCTCTGAATCCACTAGGGTGCAGTGGATGGGCAGTGTCATCTTTTCCCCTCTTTCTCGACAAAGAAGCAAGCAAGCTACTTCTCCCTTTCTGAAAAGGGCATGCTAAACTGACAGGAGATTTTCATGCATCCTCCTCTTTCTTTTCAGCTAGCAGAAACTGAGCCCACTAGCCGCAGTGCCTAAATCTGCTCACATGCTCCACGCTGAACAATGCCTAACTCATGGCTGTGAATCCTGCTCCTGGACCTATCCACCTAAAAGTCAGATGATGCTGTCCAAACCCAGCTGGTGGGTCTGTTTGTTTGCACCTCCTTGGGGAGAAAGGACAATCCAGCAAGAGAACTGCTATTCAGGATTCAAAGTGAACCACCACTTTCTTATAATAACTGCAGTCTCTAATTAGATACAGGTACTACACAAAATTCACATACATCAGGAAAAACAATGATTGAATAATTCTTTTCAGACAACAGATAAAACCTCTGGGAAACACTCGTTAGTTCAAAAACCTTCTGCTCAAATAAGAGGCTTTTCTAAAAGCCACAAAAAAATTAAAAAAAAATAAGAACAAGACCAGATCTCCCAAGACCTTATCCGCATGTACTCACTGTCAGGCCAAGCCTCTGCTCTGCCTGACCAGAATTATTTTTAATAATGTGGAGAAGTGAAGGGGGAAGGTGCAGAGCAGCTACATCAATTACAAAAGAAGAAAAAAAAAACCAACAAACCAGCCTTCCGTAGGGAAATGGATGGATATTCTGTTTCCATAGGGTTGTGATTTCCTCCCTGTTGTTCGTGCTGTACACAAGTCAAGTGGGTGGTAGGAATGTATTTCATGTCCCACTCACCCACCCAACCTACCTCAGTCAGCAGCTGTACACACGCTCTCTACAGTCACTACTGTGCTTTACAAGCCACTCCAGCACTAATGTGAACTACAGGTCACTGGATCAAGGATGCTGCCCCTCATCCATCTCCCTGATGAGACCTTTTATGACCTGTTTATGTAGTTGTGGGCAACACAAACAAGGTGTGTTAGTGGTGCAAGGAATGCTGAGAGCCTTTGCTGCTGCCCGGTACGGCAAAGAGACTTTGTAAAGTGCCTGCCCATATACACAGCCTTAGGATAACAGCCAATGCTGAAATTGGCTACTGTGAGGGAATATTGATTTTCATCTTAAAAAAGGAGGGGATGGGGGAAGAAAAAACAAAAAGAGCACCAAGCTTCTAAGAGTCAACTAATCCACAAACGTGGTCATGGTGCTCCCTGGGACTTAAGAGTTCCTGCCTCACAGAGATGTACCAGGTAAGCTGTTGAGGCTCTTAAATAATTCTGTCCACACATAGATGGTGTTTAAGTAGGGGAAGAAAAAATAAATTCAAAAAACCCCTAAATGTTAATCTTCTCCAGGCCATGTGACTCATTACTGTATGCAACGTGGACTTCAGAGCTCTGAGATATACATACCATTTCCTTGAATGCACTTTCTATGGCCCCAATAACCAGGCACTCATGTGGGATCTTCTTCTCAGTGAAGAAGCGTGTTGGAGGGGTGCTGGGCGAGCCCGGGGCCCCCACACCACCACGCAGGGAGGCCGCTCGCGTCAGTGTCCTGGGGTTGGTGGCCGGGTTGTCAGGCTCCTCTCCCAGGCAGGTGGGCGGGAGGACGGCCATGTTCCTCAAGATGTCCACGATCTCCTGCAGCTGCTCCAGGATATGGTGCTGCAGCAGTTTGGAAGCGACCACAGCTGCTCCTGACCCAGCGTGTCCATCAAACAGGGACCAGTAGTACAGGTTGATCCCATCTGTGTCCTGGAGAAGCAGAGGAGAAGAAAGGGAAGGAAAAGAGATGGGCACTGTTACATAGCCATGAGCGAGATGATGGAGCAGTCAGTGGCACAGGAGCAGCAGATAAAACACAGGAAGGTTTCCCAGAGGTACCCTTCTTTCTGAAATGGGAGAAATACCCACTGTGTTAGCACAGCTCTGCAGGAAGGAGAGATGCTTATTTTTGCCACACACTCCCCACCACTGCTTTTTAATTTTTTATTTCCCTTAATCCCCTAAAAAAAAAAAAAAAGGCGCTGAACTTTCAATCTCTCTTAACTTACAGCCAGCATAGGATGCAGTGGCCAAGCACAGCTACCACTGTGAGACTAAGTTAATTTCCTAATGACTGTGCAGATCAGAAGAAAAGCGTTCAAAAGAATCACATCATTGATAAATGATGGACCTACCACCATGGAGACCAAAATTCTACACAAGACGGCACCTGATACTTCTGCGACAGAGTTTTTTTCTACTAGGCATGAGACGAAGGACCTCAGTTCGACATGTAGTAACAAGCTGTGATCCCCTGCTTCCATGACTGGTAGGTAAGGTCCACCCATGCTGGCAGATGGGACAGCTCAGGCTTTCCCTGCCTGTGCCAGCCCAGAGGTCCTCGTGGACGGCAGACACCAGTGGGATCAGCTGCACTCCACCTATGCTAGCCTACGCATTCACTGCCTAGTTCTTCCCAGTCCTCTGAGAAGTTTCCTGTACAGTACTGGAGTTACGTACCCTCTGATCAGAAGAGCTATGCAAGTGTTTTGGTATAGCTCTCGGCATAATAGTATGCTTTCAGATCTTCTATCTTAGCGCTAATCCTAGCATGCCAGTCAGCACAACTGCTCCCATACAGGCAGAGCATCTGGAAAAAGTAAATTTTGTAGACCTCATTATTAAAATTAAGGTGATGTTACATATTTGTTCAGCAGTTACTGAACAGTGATGTGATTTTCAAATATTTCTCCCTTTCTGCTCCACACAGTCTCCTCTGACAGGCGTCAGTCAGCTCCACTAGTGCTCCAATTTGAGCAGAAACCATGTTCTTGTGGTGGAGTGCCTGATCACTCAGATAGGGCCCATTAACCCAGGGCTGGAGGCAGACTAAGCTCTGGGCAGCACAAGCTCCGATCTGCCTGAAAAATACCAAGGAGCCATACCCTAGAATGTCAAGTTTTTTGGTGTTTTTTTTTTTTTTTTAAGAAATTCACCTAGAAATCCACAGGGAAGCATTTAAGGCATAAAAATACCTGTCTTTGCATGATAGCATATTTGGCAGCAACATGTGGAAAGAGTCTTGCCAGTTTCTCCTTTCCCCTCCATTTCTTCCTAACCCTGCACCTTCTCCCAGCTATGCTGAGACAACTGTTTGTGGGGCTGCCTTGTGAGTCAGATGTGGGTGGACTAATACAGATTTAGAAATAAATAATTTTGCAAGGGACAGGAATCAGGCAATGCTGTTGCAAAACACCTCATACTAAGAAAGCATAACCTAGATCTCACTGCAGTCAAAGAACTTAAAAACTATATCTGCATGTCACGCTGACTGTGGTCTAATTTAGGATGACAGACATGATTTGTTTCATTCACCCGAACACTGCTCCCTTACACAACAGGTCAGCACATAGTCTAGGCACCACCTGCATCCCACCACCTGATGCCCAAAGCACTGCTTATTTCAAACTTATGGACAGGGCTGTGCACTGCATCTCCTTTTACTTTCTGCTATTCCAGCTGCTCCACAAAGGTGCGAACCACTGCCTGTAGGACAGGGCAGACAGGTTGCAGTAAGAACACCACGAATTGTCATTTGCAGATCCACAAGACATCATTCATTGCTGTCCTGAGGTACAAAATCCAAAACGTAATGCAAAATGTCTCTTTAAGCAACACATATATAGACCACCAGTAAAGTTCATGCTTTCCAAAGGGCAGAGTTCACTGCTGAGTGTTATTACTTAGAACTTACTTAGTTGAAATGTACATTTAAAAGCCTTCATTATAAAAATTACATAAAGGTCTATTTTTTTTCAGCTTACAGCATTGCTGCTGTCGTAAAGTTCAAACATATTCTTAACCAGTGCATTAACAGCATAGTCATCGATACAGCAGAGAGTTCTTCGAAGAGAAGGAATTCATGAGTCTATTGTGCACTCTTCATTTAATTACTGAAATGCTGAGAAAAGGGAGCATTGTCCTGCAGTACTGGATTGCTTACCACAGTAAGCATTGTACAGGATACATCCTGTAATGGTGGAAAAAACAACAAATGTACACATTTCCAAACGTGGCTCCTTACCCAGTCCCTCCCACTTACCCAGTCTGGTAAATTCACCAAAAACCTGTCGTGAAACTTCACCCCTGAAGGCAGGACTGGCAGTTGTGCTAGCTTGCTCTGGGCTCAGAATCCCTCCGAGTTCACACAACAGTTGGCTGTAAAATCCTGCTTAAGCCATTTTTAACAGATAACAGAATTACTGACTAAAAAAACCTGTTTGTAAAAATAGATTTCTATTCTTGCAAAATGTGAAGTATTTTGCCAACAGAAACAAATATCCCAAAGTGAAAGTATTTCAGCTCAAAACTGAAACAATTTATTCAAAATGGCAACACTGTGCCTACTGGGAGTTGTAGATCAAACCACTTCAGCTCCCATTCTTGTCTCAGGGTTTGCCTCACTGGCCAAAATCCACCTCATGATGCACCATGGATAATGCTTCCACAGCTTATGCCCTTCTGTCATCCGAAAGGTGCTACTCCTTTGGAGATGTGCTGCCTTTTGGGGAAAAAGCATAAACGCTCTGACTGAAACGGAAATATTTTACCTTACACCTAGAAGAAGAAGGTGTTTTGTCATCACCCTCCTCCTGCCCCCAAGCTATAACAGAAAATTACAATTAAGAACAAGTTTAAACCCTCCTCCACACTAATTTTCTTAAATTTTTCCTAAAGCAAGCCCCTACCAAAGTCTGTATTAGAGCTTTTCAGAAGACACAGGACAACAGTTATTAACACAATTCACTCTCATTACTACCAGCACGACACTGGATATGTCCTACACTGAACAAGCCTCACGTGAACGTGGTAGTCAAACTAGGTGCCATCAGACACCAGGAAGCTTTAAACCAGACCAGAACAACGGCCCCTGACAAAAAGTAGAACTGAAATACTACCACTTATTTCCTCTAAGCCAATGGGCAGCACAGATTAGGACAGAGAAGCTCACATGGGCCTGAGGTGTATTCTCAGGCTGTCACCGACATGAACACAGCATGGCCATGTCAGCTATGGTGGTTCTTCCAGAGTTCACTGATCTTGTCCTTTTTGGACTAGTAATTCTTAAACAAGAGGGTGCTGTCACCAGTTCAGCTAAGTTCAGACATCTACATTGCACATCTAAATCGCCCTTATACTCAGCAGAGAGAAAAAAATCCTGCACTTTCAGCCTATGCTCATCTCATTCCAAAGCAGATTTATTTCTCCGTATCAGCCGCTGAAGTACCCTAGATAACTGAGAGGTCTGTATTATAGGCATATGCAGTCAGGGGAGATGACTACCACAACGCTGCTCTTATACACACATTCTGTGTGAGATGCTCTAGGGCCTTAACTTCAGTTGGGATCTGCAGGCATTACTGTAACCTAAATATTAGTCTCCAAAAACTTCTATGTATTCTACAAAGCTTCATTTACTTTTGAACTAGCAAAGAGAGTATAACCACAAATAACCTGTTAGCTGGCTAACAAAAGGAAGAAGAAACAAATTTCTTTCCCCCACCTCGAGAATAAAAAAGGCTCCTCTATTTGAAAGAAATGAATTCTCCAAAACCATAGCAATTTGATGAGAATTTAATATATGGTGCAAATAAAGCAGCGACTCAGAGAATGAACAAGGGCCAGCAGTCAGGGCACACAGATGAGACAAAAACCACGAAAAGGTCCTTGCTTTTCCTCCCACAGCTGAGACAACCTCCATACCCACCAAACAATTACCTATTTTGGTGTGCATATGCATGGCTGTTCTGTCTCTTTCACATTTGGGAGCTAGAAATTCTTCCCAAAAGCACTGACATTCTGCAAACTCTCAGAGAACAAGACATCTATTTCTACTAGCTCTGGTGGTATTCTGTCAAAAGCAGTCTTTCAAACTTCAGTCTCCATTTGTTCTTTTAACTGGACAGAGCCCTCAAGTGGGAGTGTGATCGGTCAACACAGTGATTTTTTTTATTTATTTTTTTTTTTTTTTTTACATTTTCTTTCAAAAGATTCAGATTTAAGAACATTCTGAATAGCTAGCAAATACATGAAGAGCAAACAGATCCCTCACTGCACTGACCTTACATTTCCAGTATGCACTAGGAAATTTAATAAGCTTCAGGCTCCTCCACTGCTGACCTAGCTTTCAGAAAGGTTCA